ATGTAGTATTTAATATTTGTGTGTTCTACAAATGTGTGCTAGGTAATATTTTGTGCATTCTATAAATATGTAACAGGGCTACGTAATATTTGTTTTGTTCTATAAATGTGTAGTAGGCCTATGTAATACAGATGTGTAGTAGCATTTTGTAAGTTATGTAGTGTGTTGATTATGTATATTTTATAGCCTATTAGTTGTGAAAAATGTCGTTATAAACAAGAAACGAGACATCACTCCTTTTTTTATTTTACAAAACCTGGCAACCCTACACTGTGTACACCTTTCAAACGCGTTGTTATTATACATACCCTCTGTGATTGAGAGCGGTGTTCCTTAACTACTGATGGAAATTTGTAGTCAATAATACACTATGGTATAGAACGAAGAGTTTTGCTTGTAGATCTAAGGATGCAATCATTCTGTATTGTAATTATTTTAGTAACATGTAGTGGACTGGAAATAGTGAAAAACATAGCACAGGTTGTGACATTTCGTTTATTCAGCTGTGCGGGAAAAAGATTCCATACGAGAAAAAGCTTCAACCGAAACAACTTCAAAATAAAAACTCGCATGTAGCAGCAAGAAAGCAATGCGGACTACCGCAATATATAAATAAATAAATATATATATATATTTAAACAAACTGCGGCCGTCATACACTTTTTTTTCGCAATCTTTGTGGAACAATGATGCTGCAAACATCTTGGAGTAAACTAAGCCTTGAGTATGAAGAAAGCAGTCTTCTGGGATTTGGCACCGCCGTGAAAGCCTAAAATCTTACAAAGCCTTGTGTACTTCCGCTATTTTCTGAGAAAAATTAATATTCCCATAAGAATCAACGCCAAGGAAAATATATTGCGTTAAATGTGTTCAGCCCTCAAAGAGATTCGACATAACTTAAACGACAACCTATTTTGGGATATGATGGATGAAATTACAAATGCTTCTGGTTGATATATAGCTAATATGTTGGTAGGAAAGCGAACAGAGGATAAATCTAGTGCACTGTTCTTGCTACAAACTGCCTGCGGGTCTTAGAGTGAAAACATATTTCTGTAATTATATTGTAGCGTGTAAGAGCCGTTGCTATGCAACGACTGCGAGATGGGCGATATACCAGGGCCGTTTCTAGGCAACGACTCAATAAACACTTTCCCGCAACAACAGAAGAGCTGTGTTTTCTATGTGGCACGTGCCGAGATGTTACAAGCAAGGGACAAGGTCAGTTTAAGGAATGCCGTCCTCCAGGATGTCGCGCAGTGTATATCTTATGTGAACCAACGTTTCGGAGGAAAGTATGAGCAGTTGTAGGCGCTGAGTCGACCCCAGGGCCATAGTGCGGCTAGAAGGGTTAGGTAAAACGAAAAATCCAATGACCTCGCCGGCAATCGAACCCGCGACCTTCCGGCTTGTTGCATAGTGCTTCGACTAACTACGCTACATCGTGCCCCCCTCCTTATTATAGTAAGGTAAAGTTGACATTGTGCTTAACTAATTAAGCATTACACCATGAAGACGTATAGGGGAGTGGATGTATAGATCCACGTTTTCTTGATCTCGGCACTAGCTGGAGATCAGTGGTCAGCTTCACGCCCCGGCCGCTTTACCCCCGGTACCCTTTCTATAGGAGGTTGGGTGGATCCCGGAGCCGGTCTGGACTATTGGAAAAGTAAAAATTCTTGACCCTACCGGGGCTAGAACTCCGACCCCTCGGTCATCCAGCCCGTACCCAGTCGCTATACCGACTACGATAGCCTACTATGTAGAGGGTTTTTTTTTAGTGGAATAGAGAGTAGTTCAAAATGGGGAATGGAAGTAGTATGTGTTGAATGCTATCGTGTTAGGGTATGTTCTATCTGGTGGAGTGGGTGTTTTGCATGTGTATATGTATTTTGTACTGATGGCTTCGTGCAGACTTGTTTTCGCAGTTCATGTATTTAACACTCGGCTATTTCATTGTCCTATATGGAAGTGCTTTCCATGAGTTTTTGTTGATGTTCCTGTTTCTCTGGTTTCTTGTTGCCGATGTAGTTCCGGTGTTATTATAGATGTGGGCCAAAATTCTGTCAAACTATTTGTAAAAGTAAAAAAATGTAAAGCTATCCCTGTACCAGGCCGTGAAGGCCAGTAGGGTTGTGAGACGTTGAGAGTCCCACATTATCTAGACAATCGGCTCACAGATGGCGGTAAGGTTGTCAGACTTACCCGCCGGCCGCGCTTTATTAACCAGGAAAATTATTTAATTCCTGGTACTCATTTCTGTTAGAGGCTGAGTGAACCCCAGGGCCATAGTGCGGCTGGAAGGATTAGGTCAATTGAAAAAAAAATCCAATGACCTCATCGGGAATTGAAGCCGCGACCTTCCGGCTTGTAGCATAGCCCCTCAACCAACTAAGCTACTGCGTGCCCCATCAAACTATTTGTACACACAAATAATGTAACAGATAAAATTAAAGTATTATCATTACTTTTTTATACCTACTTTGCACAAAGTATGTTTATCTGTCCAAAATATTTTTTTATCCCTGAAACTACATGACAGATTTCCATCAAATCTGATAGTTATGGTCTACAGTAAATATTGCCAGATAAATGTTATTTAAGTTCATGCTGGTTGATTATCTCAGGCTTTACATGGGGTGTCAATGAAACTGAAGTCCACACACTTAACATATTTTGAAAGAATCTGTTAACCACTCTGGTATCATGTTTATTGCTAGATTTTTGGCATGAAACAAGAATAAAAGCTTGTTTATTTGCAGACCAGTATTGTGTTATCTTTCCACAAACAGCAAAGGAGCAATAATTATTACTTCCTTATTTTGATAATGCAGATGTCACGCCACACATTCTTGGCATTTCTTCTCTTTCTGGTCATAATGACTATGTGCTGCTCAGCATATAATGATGATCGACCTATCTACAAGTGGAGTCCTCTGTGGTTCAGCAGATATTTCCGCAACACGCAAATGTACAAAAGAGTATGTATACTTAATAGTATGTTGTAGCAATATTAGCAGTAATAATAGAAGTGATCTGAGTTGTGTATGTGCTGTATGTGCTATTGCTGCTATTTCCATTACACTTATGGTTTAATTCTAGTATGTGGATGCTCCCAGGAGATGCTGCCCTGTGTACCTGCTCCTCTATAATAATGTAGGGTGGGTACCAGGTGCTCTTTTCCTGGGGGTAAAGTGGCAGGGATGTGAAGATGACCATTCACCTCCAGCTAGTGCCGAGGTCAAGAAAATGTGGATCTACACATTCACTTCCCCATACGCCTTCATGGCTTAGTGCTTAATTAAGCACAGGGACACTTTTACCTTTATTTTCTCTTAAACAATGTAAACCTAAAGTTATGTTTTGAGTTACGTTTTTATTCCAAAATGAGTTAGTTGTTTCCCTAGACTAGATTTTCAACACTGTTATTCCTGTCATCATCATCAGCAGCAGCAGCAACAACAACAACAACAACAGCAGAAAGCAGTCTGTGGTAAATCAGCTTTGCTATCAAATATCATTATGGTAATTTGGAGGGGGGATAAAAGTTTGACCCCATGCCCTCTCCCTGTAAACATCTTAAATGAAGACAGATAAGGATACATTTTTTCTTAGATATTTCATTTAACTAAAACCTTTTGTACAGAATAGTTATTTTATGAATCTAACATAATTTTACACACAATATACAGCAGTCCTTGATTTAGTTAATCCATAGTTGACCTATATTTCATCACCTAGGGATGAATTATCCATCTGTAACTACACCTATTCATCTAGAAACAACAATAACAAGGAAAAAATGTGGTGTGAAGTGTTTTCTGAAGCGAAAGAGAAGAGTTTAATAAGATGGAATTGTGTGAATTAACTAATGGTGTTTTATGCAACAGGGTCCACCTGTAGAACTTCCTGAGATACAAGACACCCAGGAGGAATGTGTTCCAGAAAACCAGAGATGTGGTTACTGGGGTCTGGAAATGCCTTGTTGTAACCTCGGTCACTGCATCATGGACCACTGCGTATCGAAAGAGTAAGAAATTACATCTGAAAACAATCAAGCTTACAGGGTTATACAACAGAAGAATCAAATATGCAGGCCTAATATTAAGTCTATCAGAAGTTCCAACAGAATTGCTTCAAAATTAAAAATTAATTTAAGTTTTCTTTAGGATATTTGCTTTCATGCATATGTGTGTCTTTCTAACGACATTCCACCCCCCAAATTTTCACAAAAATCAGTGTGGATGACTTAGCTCAGTCAGTATAGTGATTGGCTACAGGCTGGACAGACTGGGTTCAATTCCCAGGAAGGGCAAGATTTTTCTTTTCTTCATAATGTCCAGACCAGCTCTGGGGCACACCCAGCCTCCTAGCCAATGCATACTGGTGTCTTTCTCCCAGGGGTAAAGTAGCAGGGGCATGAAGCTGACCGCTCACCTCCATCCAGTGCCAAGGTCAAGAATGTTGGAGCTATACCTTCACTTCTCCACATATCTCTATGATGCAATATTTAATCCCTTAGGTATTGGGACTGCTTTACATTACTTCTCACTTATGTCAATATGTTGGACATACTATGCTGTTCCCTACTGTCAGTAATATCAACATGCTGGTCATACTAGAAGGGGCAGAAACTCTATTATCATTCTATATAGGAAGGATTCTGAAATATAGTTACAGCCCTTTGAAAACTTTGTTGTATCACCATGTGTCCAACTCATGATGGTTACAAAATTGGACAATGTTATCTTGCTGCTCAATTTGAGTCTGGAGATGTTCTGCCAGGTAATGGTAAGAAACATTCATGTCTCTTACAGCTGAATGTAAATAGAGCTAACAGCTCTTTAATTGGCACTCTCCTGTCTGGGAATTGTGATTAATAACCAAAAAAAGCTCTTGATTAGCCATTGCAATGTCTGTAGGGGAAGTTAATAACTGCATATTCATTGCATGAAAATTTGAAAGGCATTGTTTCCAACTGCTCTTTAAGGTAGTGGCACCAAGAAAAGTTACCATGTCTAACATGCCAAAACGGTTCACTTGAACTATCAACCATTCTTGTTACCACCTCTGGCATGATTTGTCTTGTTACTAATACAAAATTCACTCATTGCCACATATGTGCAAATATTAAAACTTAAATGTCCATAACTTTTTAACAATATAAAGTAAAACACTCGCATTCATAAAGAAGCACACATCACTAGACACGGTATACACAGAATATAAGAAAAACGACTCCCATAGTGGAAGAACCATATGCGAGTTTGAAATTAAGACATAAGATGAATAATCTTAACAAGTTTTAGTGTATATAAATTTATTATAACTGAGGAATATGTACTTTTTAAATACTTTAATAATTTTACAGTGACATAATGGCAAGCAATGCAATAGCTTAGCGTAAATAAAGCACCTGATGATGGCACTATGTTGCCGAAACATGTCGTGAAGTAACAGGTGAAATTGAGTGCACTACAAGACGGCCACCGCGTACATATCATGGATGAAAATCAGTGCAACAGGACGCTAAAATACAACATTATAAAGTACAAGATGCCAGATTGCTAGTTTTAACATTTGCTATTGATCTGACAGTAGTTTCATAATAAACATTTCTAACAAGCACATCTATTACTATTTAGTTTGAATATCCATAACTCAGTAACTGTCATAAATGAGATACAAGTTATGTATTTAAACATAAAATCACTTAATTAACAACTTCTCAAAGATTTGCCACTTCCCCCTGTGATATCTGTTATACAGAGGAGTTCATTCCTTGCTTTATTTCTTACCATTCACATAGCAAAATACTTGCCAGTGAACAGGCTCTCTTTTGCAGAATTCACAATATCATATGATATAAATTGCAGGTCCTGTCCACACTTGAAAAATGTTTCCAGTAAAACTACTTTACCTAAGTGATGTAAATGGGTAGTTGCTGAATATGATGTCCTCCAACATCAAAGTACATTTCACATTGGTGTAATAAATTCAGTGATCAACACTGCAGTCCATATTCTCTGAAATTTAGAGTACTCAACATTTTGATGTGTAAGATCTCCAAAATGTGTAGATCATTTCTGTTTCAAATTTTACCAGAATAACACACTCAGATCTAAGGAAAGTGATTACTCATTTCCTGAAGAGTTCATAAAGCCTCCATTGAATTGGTTGGCTGGTTTCCAATGGCTGCATTTGGGATCACTTAACCCATTTTTCTTCTTGCTTCCCAATAGAAAGCATTCAAGTTCTTGCTTTGTTGCATCTTGAAGAAGTTTGCACTTTTCTTTGGGGAACCTTTGCCAGGTTTGTTGCTCATTTTGCATTACCCAGGGGACACGTATGACTTAAAGAATGTCATGGATGCGAGCAACTTTGTCCCCCGCCTGCACTGAATTTTCTGCACCAAATATACTTCACACACCACTCTAAGTTAACTGCACCATGAAAGATTACTAGTATATAGGCTGAGGGCAATCACAGAAAACCTAAGGATAGTTGGTTTTCAGTTCAAGGTTCAAACCTGGGACCTCCAATATATGATGTAAGAATGCTGTCTACTCAACTGTTGTGTTCGTTGCTTTCATGTGGGAAGGTTTATGGATCAGTTGTTGAACTGCAACCTTCATGAAACATCGCCAAATAACCTAATTCTGACTGTGTCCTAGTGTTAAAAATGCTATAATTAATTTCTTCTTTTCTTTACAGGAACATGTATGCATACAACCAAGGACCATAAATTTATATTGAATATTTTGTCTCAGTGCACTACATTCTGGATATTAACCTGTACCTCAAAGCATTATCATTTATATTTTCCATGCACATATTAACTTCAAATATTGCCTGAGATGTTGTGACTTAAGCAAGTGACTTCTGTCTTGGTATTCTAATATAATGACAATGTAATCTTAATTACAACAACATTTCTTCCTATTACAGAAAGGTAAAATATTTTTAAACAAAACATAACAGAATATAACTTAACTCTAACCTCATTATTTGTTATAATTTAATATGTCTGAACACTTTTTAATCTAGTCCTTCAAATAAATGTAGAATTGTCAGGAGACTGTAGACGAAACAAATTTTCAAAGCTTAATTGCACCAGAATTAACACCATCAGTTATGATTTGAAGACATGCATAATTCAAACTTCTCCATATTTGTAACCCATTATTTTTAGAAAGATTAATTTAATTTTCATAGCAGGTAGTCAGTCAATCAGTCTAAAATTCCTAATATACAGAGCAATACATGTAAAAGGGCACTGCTTTCACATATTTACCTCTCTCATAAGTGTCCTAGATCACTTATCCCCACTCTTTTGTCAATGACTACAAAATGTCCATTATCAGCTTCAGTGATTAACCCTTTCACTGACATGCACAAAGAATTTCCGTACTGTAGAAATGCTCATCAGAGAACACAGACAAATATTTGATACAAAAGTAGCTTTAAATATGTTACATGTCACTAATTTCGTGGACTGTGGTTTTATCCCATTATATTACAAGGTATTCACATACACTTATATAGATCCACATCAACCCTCAAAATAGTTGCCGTTGGCTGCTATGCAAGTCTGCCAACGTTGATATAGCTGCAGAAAACATTGCTGAAATATACTAGCAGGAAATACCCATATGGTGTCTCTTGTGGCATTGACGACCTCCTTGGACGACTGAAATCTATGACCACGTAGCTTTGCTCTCAAGCAGTGAAAGAGAAAGAAACGATATAGCTGCAGAAAACATTGCTGAAATATACTAGCAGGAAATACTCATATGGCGTCTCTTGTGACATTGACGACCTCCTTGGACGACTGAAATCTACGACCACGTAGCTTTGCTCTCAAGCAGTGAAAGAGAAAGAAACTGCATGGGGCGAGATCAGGTTATGGAGGTTATGGCAAAACGGTGGCCTGTTGCCTTGCCAGTTCCTCTTAGACAGGAACAGAGCAATGTGCAGGGGCGTTGTCTTGTAGCAACAGCCAATTGTTCATATGCCAAACATGTCGCTAAGGGACTTTACTAGTTTATGGCAGAACTTGATGTTTGTCTGTTGTTCAAACTGCCACATTTTCAGTTTCAACCATTCACATTTAACTGCAGTACACAACAGAGGCCACAGTTCTGCTTACACTGTTTGCACACAACTGCCTCTTGATGTGACAATAGATGAACTGACAAGGAATCATATCATGCCTCAACCTATCCACTGTAGTGCACTGCAACGATGCTTTGCGGCCAGTCCACGAAATTATCGAGTGTGGTAGTATGTCCAAATTAGATGTCCTATAGTTCACACACATGTTAACAAAACATAATGCCTTTAGAATAATTTTATTTAGATAACAACAATTACAGCTGAGATGTGCTTGTGTTTTGTGAAAGAAGTAAAACAAAAATTCTTGTGTTAATACAAAACATTATACATCCATTTGCAATGAAGAATATTAACTACCTGGAAAGAAAATAGCTCTGTTGTCATGGAATCATTTGAAAATAAAAATAGCATGAAAAATACTCAAAAGAGCACATAATATAATAAATCACATTTTGCCATACTCTACAGATCCAAGATTGTATTATGCTCAACAGTAGAGTGAATTTACTGACTACACAACACGTTTTTTATTATCACTACATGTTTCGACCTCAAGAGGTCATCCTCAGGTGTATGAACATGGCTGTCTAATTACACGCGGTCACATTCACTTTTCACTCATTCGACCCTGTATCTTATCCAGACTTAAGCTCACTAATATATCGAGTTCTTTTTATAAAACACAGGTTAAAATTATTATTCTAATTTAATTGTTAAAAGTTAAAATTTCGTGAATGGAAGTTCAATTCATGTCACTGGTTACACTTTCACTTGTTTTACAGTCTCATTTTACTTACGCTCACTACTGTATCTTACATATACCTTATATACACAATGCATGTATGTAGATTTTGATGTTGTGCTCATTTGTCACAGAAATTTATTATTCCCTTATTCATATGACTGCCTAATTTTAAAAAATGATGAACGTGCTATTCTAGGGTTCAGTCATTTACAAAACATTCACCTCTTAAAATATCTGAGTGTTGGGTAAGTTCGAGCATAAGCACCTGCAACACGACTGGGAATCTAAAAATTATATACCTATAATATCTTGTATTCAACACACTAATCTGAAAGTTACAGTATATTCCATAATTATATAAGTGTGAAAATATACATTATACTGTCGTTTCACAATAAATACAGAACATCTTATAATACATCCACTGTATGGTACTAACAGCAAGAAATGAAATATTATGTAAGATGTATGTATCTTCTATAATAACAATTCTGCTCAATTTAAAACATTTGTGTACTTCCTAAGATCATGTGTTTATACAAATGCCATAGAACATATTTATTTTATCTTCTTCAACAAGTGCAATACATTTCTTGAGGTCTGAGTCTTCATAAATGCTTAAGTGTTTTTAGCTTCAAACCTCCTCTGTCTCCTGTCTCCCCTCAAGTATCTTTCCTCTCTGCTGTATTGATGAAGTTTCCCAAGGACAATCATGTGGCAAAATCTTGAAGGTGTTCCACCTTCACAGACTAAGATAACCAGCATTTGTGTTCATCAACATGCTAATGGCACTGTACTCTGCTCTCCAAAATAATGAAGGCCTAAAATTACTACAGCTACAAATGATGAAATGATAAGTGCTCGTCATAGAAAGACAGCCATTAAGATTACAACCAAAATGAAGGAAATCCACTGTTTCAATCTGGGTGGTTCAACAACCAAACACTGTCTCTCAAGGATGATGATCTTCATGGAAGATGTCCTACTAAGCCACACATTTTGGCAAAAGATCCGATGAGACTCAATTTACTAAGGAGCACAAACACTGGACCAATAAAGAGTGAGTTATGTGTTGTGAACCCATTAGTAGAAGCTCAACATATTTACTTCTAACAGCAGGCAATATATAAGGCATCCAGTCAACAATAACTGGACTCCAAATACCAGATACCCAGTCAAAATGGTGGGGGAAAAATTATGATGTGCGAATCCTTAGTTGAGATTGTATTGGTCTTTGCATTTCATTGATGGCATAATGGAGAAAATTCAGTTAAAAAAAATCTAAAAGCTCATGCTCTCCTGTTCCGGAAACAAAATGTCTCATGGCTAGATTTTCCAGCAGGATAATGACCGAAAACACTACCAAAGTCACCCAAGACTGGCTTGGAACAAAGAAATTATGAATTTTGAAAGGGCCTTTGCAATCCCCTAACCTCAACCCGATTGAATATCCCTGACAAGAGCTTGGGAAATATGTTGAAGGTCACCAGCCAACCAACAAGCAAGAATGCTCTGATATCTTGTGCAATGAACAATGTTAGATTCCCTCAGCAATCTCATGAACCTGGTTGACTGTATGTCTCACTGCTGCCTAGCAATCATTGCCAATAGTGGCTTCCTGGCCAAATATTAGTGTTATTCATTATTTCCTTTAATCCATTTTATGGGTTGGTTGAAATAACAGTTCTTTATAATTGAAAATCAAGATAGATGAAACCTTTTGAGAGCATCACTTTTACATTCCTCTGACTGTTTCTCCATGCGATGTTTCAGCAGCAAAAATATAATGATGTACTCAGTACACCACCTTGTGTGCATGGATCATATATGGTACCAAATAGAAATTTCTGATGAAAGTAAAATAAAAATCAAACAGTTATAGGCTTTTAAGTGCTACTGTACATATAAGAATAATTTGAGGAAGAAAATTAAGTTCTTCGGCCAAAACTTCAATCCTGAAAGAAATCTGTGAATTTTGAAAATCAATCTTGCCTAAGATATGCATTGTAAATTTATCTCACCTAGGAATCATATACAAACAATTTAAAGAACGGGGTGTCAACATACTGGAGAGAACTAAAAGGAGGGAAATGACACAGGAATCTTCAATGACAACTCAACAGGCACTTTCTGATATGAATATAATTTAAAATGATCAATTTCTTACAACAGTAATGACTGCAACAGTGAACTTGAATATATAATGTAAGACAGAGGTTCTAATGGAAGTGACTGAAGAACACTGTCTTTTGGGATGTGATACTGCACATTCTTATAGACATTTGCCAGTTCAGAAAGCATGCTGCCTCCATCCTACCCAGAAGAGGGAGACAACATGTTCCTCTGACACATTGGCAAAATATCTAATCCTCTGAAACACTGGCAAATGTCTAACAGACTATATGGTGTCACATCCTGGATGACAATATTCTTCAAAAGCAGAAAATATTGTTGTCCATTCCAATAAAGAGAACTTCTAATCTAACACACACTTGAGCAAATTCATGGATTAGTGGTACCACTTTCTGATGCCTGCTTCTCCAGCTCTTCAAGTTTTCGGTGCCTACGTATATTAGAGAGTATTCCATCCAAACTAGTGGTTTTCTTCTTTGCACTTCCTTTAGGACCGCCTTCGCCTGTTCTTCTTGGTGTGAATTTTGGTGCTGACATTTCGTCCATAAAATCAAAATCTGATTTTTCTTCTGGTCTGCAACATGAAAGTACAGATGAACAGTACTATAATGGGGTGGGAGAGAGAGAGAGAGAAGATGAGATTAAATATTATTTAACACATTGAGGACTGGCAATTTAAATATTTAAATCACCCTGGGGGCCAGCATTTTTAAACCCAGTACCCTAACTTGTGCACTGTTCACTTTAGAAATTAATATAAAATCTTCTAATTAATTTTATGAACTAAAATTTTTGGAGAACACTTACCAATGCTCCTAGAAGTGCTTGAGAGTGTAATATTTCTGGAAACATTCCCCTTTGTGAACTGGCATTACACAGAACTTGCAATGTAGACAGTCATGCTCCTTTTTTTGTGAACTGTGAAAACACAGCACTGCCTAGGATGCTTCCCCTTGGAATGTTCACCCTTCACAATTTTCACGAGGGTATGTTTCCACATATCACCCAAGAGTCACCCAGGGGTGTCCACATGAGGCCCGTGTGGGGTGGGAGTTGTTGGGTCTGGTCGCACTAAGTCTGTGCCTGACTCTGGTTCTGCCACCACCATCTGGTCTGTAGCCCAGGCCTTTGCCACATTCATCAAAAATGCTTTGTATTTCAATTTTGAATCAGGTTTTAGAGTTTTGTAAACCAAAAATGAATTGAAAATTGCACAATTTATAAGCCACAAGGCAACTTTCTTTGTCCACTTTATTGTCTTCCTAGGAAGAGAATAATAGGCCAAGTATTGATCGGCTCTAGCACTCCCTTCGTGAACATATTATACTCAGAAATACAAATAGGCTTCTTTACTTGCCCATGTTTCCTTTGAACATCAACCATGCTCGAATTGTGATTGTGGAAATCATATTCACAACACGAGTATCCCTATCTACAAAAAAACAGTTCTGCTACTTCAGACACTTGCGCTGGGACCAATGGAATTGGTTTCACCCCTGGATTTCCAGTAAACTGTCCCAAAGTAGGCGTTTTGTCTACTTTTCCCCATGTGGCTGTCCCCGCAATTTTACTACCTGCACTTCTACCTGCACTTTCGTCTTTTATTGTCTGTGGCTAAAATTGTTTGTTGTACCCTGTCACTACCATCTGAGTCACTTTCACTACTCCTCTCAGAAGGAACATCAGATAGCTCATCGGGAGAACAAGTCAGATATTTCTCCAAGATATCGCTCGGTCTTGAACCGCTTCTGTCCTTGATTCATATTGCACTAACTTCCTGCCTGATACATAACAGCTTGAAGGGTCGAAGATCATTTTCCTTTGGAGGGGGAACCAAAACAGCAAGGTCAAGTTACTGCCTACTAAGCAAACATTCCGGCTATGATATGTATGCAGTTTCCGTCTTGTAGTGCATTCAATTTCACCTGTTATTTCACGACATGTTTCGGCAACATAGTGCCATCATCAGGTGCTCCATTTACGCTAATCTATTGCATTGCTTGCCATTATGTCACTGTAAAATTATTTAAAAAGTATTTAAAATATTCATCAACTATAATAATTTTATACACTAAAGTTTTGTTAAGATTATTCATCTTATTTGTCCCAATTCAAACCCGCACTTGGTTCCTCCACTATGGGAGTCATTCCTCTTATACTCCGTGTATATCTGCAACGTAAAAAAGGTACTTATTATTATTACTTTCGGCTTCTATCTGTTATGTGTTGTATTAGTGTTTAGTACTCACCGTGTATCGTGATATATGTTCTCTTTTTGGCTGCGGGTGTTGTAATGTTGGATGTGTGTGTGTCTTCGTATTGATTGAGCTATGATGTTGTGGGGGTAAATGTGGTGGGGGTAGGTGGTGGGGTTGTGGTATGTTGTTCTGTGTAAACTGTGTGTAGTTCATGGAATACTGGGTTATATATTTCCTTATTTATATTGTGTTTTTCTTTGTTGTTGTGTATATATGATAGTTTTCTAATGTGTTTAAATACTGTCCTTTCTTATTCGTTATGATGTCCATAGTATTTTCTATTGTACCGTATGCATGTCCTGTGTTTAATATGTGTTCCGAGTACCCTGTATTGCTGTTATTTTGTCTTATGTCATGTATGTGTTCTTTATATCTGGTATTAAATTTCCTCCCTGTTTGTCCTATATATTCCATGGGGCAATCTAGGCATTTCATTCTATATATGCCACTTCTGTTATATTTACTCATTTGTGTTTTTGATTTTAAAATATGTTGTAAATTATTCTTAGTTCTAATGCTATTTTTAATTTTGTGTCACGAAATAGTTTTGTAATGTTTCTTGTTTCTTTTCCTATGTATGTGAATGTTGCCCATTTCATTTTTTGTTCTTCTGAATTCTCTGTGATGTTCTGTTTTGTTGTCATGTTTTGGTTTCTTTTATTTGTAATTATTTTAGTAATTATATCTGTGTTGTACTTATTGTTTATGAGTATATTATTTATAGTAGCTATCTCAGTATCTTTTGCTACTCTGGTAATGGGGTAATTATTTACTTGATCTATAAGGTATTTAATACCAGATATTTTGTGTTCATGTGGGTGACATGAGTCACTTGGTATTATTATGTATTATATTATATTATTGGTATTATAAACATTCCAGAGTAATATTACGCAGTAGTCATTCATTTGGGTGGTGCTAGAGAAAGGTATAGTGTGTTACAACCTAACGTGTACTAAAATCATGATATCATGCGACTGCTCCACCATGTTTAAAAGCCAAAAGCAAGATATCACGTGACCGGTCCTCAATGTGTTAATGTAAGAGGCTAATTTTGTAGAATTTTTCTGAATCACAAAGACTCATGCAGCAATTACACACCATATCAAAATACACAAACATAACACGCAGAACCTTCCAATACTATCATTTAGAGCAATACATGTCAGATCAAGGTTCGTAGCTGTCATATTTCAAAAGTCAAACAAAGAATTTGAACATAATCTGTAGAGATGTTAAAGTGAAACCCAAGATGCTTGAAATTGAGGAATCAATACCATCTCCATGGAGGTTTGTTCAAAAAGTGTCAACATCAAGTATGTGAGTGTGTGGGATTTAAGGTAGGTCATCATCACAGGAGAGGTATGCATTAATAAAATTCACATTCTAAATTACAGTACTTAACCAAGTTTAAAAATAAATAAATCTGGGTAACTGTCGAACTGCAAAGGGAACGCCAGTAGGTGGAGTTCTTCTTGAGAGGCTAATAGCTGCCCCCCCCTTCCATGTGATCTGAAATTTCATTACCATGTTCATAAGGGTCTGCTACTGGTCCCTATCCCCAGCCAGATAAATCCAGCCCACATTACACTTTATTTTTCCTAAGATTCATTTTAACACACATGCCTCTGAGATCTTGTCTCTTCAAATTTCCAGCTATAAGTTTGAATTCATTGTCTTACATGCCACCCAGGTCATCACTGAGTGAATAAATAATAAAAATTTAAAGGCAGTATTATAATCAAACCCATTCTTGGAAAGAGCACTCTTCTTCGGCAATTGTTGACACACTATTTTTTTAACAGTGAACAGTAGCAATCTGCATTTCACTACAGAAATAAAAACAGTAGAACCATGTTCTGGACAGTTCTGATACAAATTAAGCTCTGGCATCTGCAATGGCAGTGCAACAAATACAGCAATTTAATTTATGCTATACAGTAGATTCATATCACCAGTGACAAGCTTGAACATACTGTCACCATAAGTGAAAAAAAAAAAACCTAGTATAAAATAAAATTGTATTTTTCATAACTGGAACACTTAAAATGTATTTAATTATCAAGAGTTTTCTAGATTAAATGAATTTCTATTTAACTGGATATTCAAAATAATCTGTTACCAAAGATGCTAATATCGTCTATGGGAAGGTCTTTTCCACGCAATCAGATATTTAAAAATAAAAAAGGTACAAAGTTTTAAGAAATGCATCTCCATTCTCAGTTCTACGTGACACAACAATACCAAAGTGTGTGATATGGTATCAAATGCAGGTTATTGTGATGAATAGGATTCAAGCGTCCTTGTATCACCATACATTACAGAATAACATCTGATTTCAAAGTGTTTCTTCATGGTCAGATGAAGTCTTAGCTTCATCTGACCAAACCAAATACTGCACTTTATGTCATGCTAAGTAATAAAATAAGCTGTAAGACTAAATACAATTCCCAGTTTCACATTCCTTACTTGGACTCTAAAGATTCCTCATCCTCTTGATAGAAGTCATCCTGTGCAGGAGAAGGGACACGTCGACCAGGACATTGCCAATCCAACTCCAAAACACCTTCCCTATCTACCCGGTCATATAATGCTGCTATGTCTCCAGGTGATGGCTCCCATGTTTCCTAAAGATAAAATTCATGAATATATCCGTTCAATCGTAAATCAAGCTTGCAGAATGAATATCCTTCACATTTAATATACTTTCTAATGTCTCATGTATTAACTGTATGAAGGGCGTTCAAGTTCTAAGGTCTCCGATTTCTTTTCTCAGGACTGGGAACAGATAGACACATGCGGTTTAGTTTAAAATACGTGTGTACTCTTAGTGAATGCGTGACACAGATAGCAGCACTGTACGGCACACAGAACTCTAGTGGTGGCGACGAGCGTGAGGAGTGTTTTTGATACTTAAAATGGCGACATTTTCATTACAAGAACAGCGAGTAATCATTCGTTTTCTCCACTTGCGTGGTGCGACACCCATTGAAATTCATTGCCAGTTGAGTGAGACATGTGGTGATGGTGTCATGAATGTGAAAAATGTATGTTTGTGGGTGCGACAGTTCAAAGAAGGCTGAACGTCATGTGACAATGAACCAAAACAATCTCGGCCTCGCACCAGCCGGTCTGATAAAATGGTCGAGCGAGTTGAGAAAGTTGTTTTGGAGGATCACCAATTGAGTGTGGAAAACATCGCCTCCAAAGTTGGCATTTCCGTGGGATATGTGCACACAATCCTGCATGAAGACCTGCGAATGCGGAAAATGTCCTCCAGGTGGGTGCCACGAATGCTGGCAGACGAACACAAGGCTGCGCGCATGCCAATTTGCCAGGTGATGTTGACACATGATGAAAGCATGAATGGGACTTTCTTTTCATCAATTGTGACAATGGATGAGACATGGATGCCGTTTTTCAATCCTGAAACGAAGCGCCAGTCAGCTCAATGGAAGCACACACACTCACCACCACCAAAAAAATTTCGGGTAAGCACCAGTGTTGAAAAAATGATGTTGGCCATGTTTTGGGACAGCGATGGCGTAATCCTTACTCATTGCGTTCCAAAGGGCACTACGTTGACAGGTGCATCCTACCAAGATGTTTTGAAGAACAAGCTCCATCCAGCACTGCGAGAAAAACGGCCGGAAAAGGCTGCACGTGTGCTCTTTCACCAGGACAATGCACCAGCGCATCGGGCATACGCGATGCAGCAGTTTCTTCGTGAACACAACCTTGAAGTGGTTTCTCATGCTCCCTACTCACCTGACCTGGCTCCTAGCGATTTTTGGCTTTTCCCAACGATGAAAGACACTCTCCGTGGTCGCACATTCACCAGTTGTGCCGCTATTGCATCAGTGATTTTCCAGTGGTCAAAACAGACTCCTACAGAAACGTTTGCAGCGACCATGGAATCACGGCGTTGATGTTGTGAAAAATGTGTATGGCTGCAGGGAGATTATGCTGAAAAGTGACAGAAGTTTCAAATTTTTTGTATGATTATTGTGTGAGAAAAAAAATCAGAGACCTTAGAACTTGAACGCACAACATATTTATAACACAAAATTTGTATTTGAAGATGTTCTACATACTTTCTCACTAGATTAAATTATGACTTGTCTAATATAATCTTTCCCATACATGTATGGCAAATATAATAAAACAAAACCTCCATGAACAAACTTAAACTGGAAGAAAATCAAATGATGATAAAGTAGATTCAGATATATCAGTACCATTTTCACACTGTGTACATCTAGAGAATAAATGACAAAGCATTTTTGACTGTCAGTATAATTGGGGTGGGGGGTCAAAATACTAAATGACTACAAAGAGTAGCTTAGTTGGGTAACATCTAAAACATGACATAAATGATTCTCTCCTTTGTGAGCAACCATCCATTCTTTACTTAGCCTACTGAGGAGGGAGGAAGAACAGAAATATGAGAAATAAACTATTCTTATTGTTTCCTGTGACATATAGCCCTGATTGCATAACAGACTGAACCAAATTTAGACATAAGCCAATCAACATGGCCTTTCCATGACAACATATGGTCGGTAGTTAATCCAAGAAATTTGGTATTAGTAGATATAGCAATCTGACTATTTTTTTTCTTTCTGTGGCGCTACAGCCCCAATTTGGGCCTAGGCCTACCTCCATGAAACTCTCCGTTTCACTTCGGTTTACTAGATCTTACACATGCGGTAGGACCCCTTGGGCGAGTGATCAGCTCGTCGCAAGGCCTAATCTGACTGTTACCATAGTCAATATGTATATCCACTGGATAGCTATCTTAGTCAAAAATTGTATAAAATATGTTTTATCGAAATTTAGTATCAATAAATTAGCTTTAAACTAATCATTTATGTTTTTAAATATTTGAATGTTGTTGTTTTCATAACCTAAAGGTCTGCAATTCATGATAATTATGTTGGTGTCATCTGTAAAAATAACAGGTCTGGATTTATTAATTATACTGTTTGGCAAGTCATTTATATATAAAAGAAACACTAAAGGTCCCAGAATCGATCCCTGGGGAACACCATTATTAACTTTCCCCATCTGGAATGAATATGCCAATTATTGATTACAGTTATCTGGTATCTAGTTTTGAGGTAGGATTGTACCAACGCGTTTCCTTTATCAACTTACTTACTTACTCATGGAGTTGAATGGTAGCAAGTATTACCCGAGTTCAGTCTCCTCTTAATTTCCTCCTGAATCGGGTTTTCATTTGTTATCATCGTTCCCAAATATCTGAACTGTGCCACATTTTCAAAACATCTGTTTCCTATCATGATTTGACCCTCCATTTTGGTGATGAACAGCAAAATATACTTAGTTTTCTCTGTGTTTACTTCTAGACCAACCTCCTTACTTGTGTCAATTAAAGTTTGGTTTTTTCTTTATGGTATCTATATTATCGCACAATAGATTTGTTGTATATGACGGTGTGATGTATTGGATATTATTAATGTAACAGGTATGGTGGATAGAATAATTACAATGGTTACCATTCATAAGTAACAGTTTATTGAATCCGAATGTAATATTTATTGATAATTACGAAATGTAACAGCACAGGTTTGTCACATACTGTAACTCGACTTTCACCGATTTTATCCGCCAGAGGGCAAACAAGACTTGTTTTGAACTAAGGGAAGCAAATAAGAATAGTCATGTTGCTTCACAGAGAAACTGGAAAACATCAGTTAAAGTCCGAGAAAACAAGCCAAGGTCCAGGAAGACCCATCATGTGAAATAACAATAGAATGTTCTAGAACCTTCCTATATGATGAAATTTGTACCTTCCAAGGAAGCTTTCACAAAGCCCCCACCCCACAGACAGGGCTATAAGAACCCTGACCTAAACCGTTCAAAACGCTCTCTAATCTGATTACAAAGTTTAGTCTATAGGACTGTACTCTGTCAGTCAGGAGTCGGCCACTGCTAAAGCCTCAAGCAGACTTGCTGTTGTAACAGTTGTACATATTTACTGTGTATTAAACTCTCTTGAATTAAGCATCTTCCAGCAGTTTATCTCCACCAATACGACGGATGTTTGCCGCTCACCCGACTCCATCAAGACCAACCCACAAGTACGAGTACCCACTCAGTCGCCCGACAGTGTGGCATACGACAGATTCACATCATTAGCATAAACCAACAGCTGATGTGTCCCATTTAATTTCAGTCCCACCTGGTTTTCCTGGACCTTCCTAATGGCATATTCTAAAGAAAAGTTGAAAAGGAGTGGCAATAAAGCACCTCATTGTCTTAGACCATTCTGGATAGGAAATTTATCAGACAACAGTTTATCTATATGGACTTTACTATATGTTTCATTTAAAAACTGTTTAATCAACTTAACTAGTTCCATGGGTATCCCAAACTCTATTAGAATATTGTAAAATACTTCCCTCCTAACTGAATCATAGGCTTTCTTGAAGTCTACAAATAGCTGATGCACTGTCTCATTGTACTCCCATTTTTCTCCAATATCTGATGAATGCAAAAGATCTGATTGGTAGTTGATCTGTTACATAGAAACCCACAATGATGATCCCCAATAATTTCATCTAATTTTTTAGTTTTAAAGACTTAATTACCTTTTCATTTCTTTAGTAGAAGTATTGTTAAGTTTAATTTTAGGGAAGGGAGTCACAAAAGCTTGAGACAGATAATTTAAATATCTGTCAGTATCAGACTCTATAATGTGGCCAACATTTGCATAATTGGTATTTATTTTGTCACCTATAGTTAGAAAATAATTATTTAAAGAATATGTAATCATATGATGATTATCAGTTAATTTCCCATCCATGTTTAAAAACTTTAAGCCTGCATTATTAATTTTTCTACCTGTCATTGATTTTACAAGGATCCAGGTGGTATTCATTTTGTTACTAGAATTAGAAATTAACCTATTATAATGAAGATTTTTAGCTGCTTTAATAACATCGACCAAAATTTTGCATTGTTTCATAATAATATTTTAGATATGGATCATTACTATCCCTAAGAGTTAAACAGAACTCTCTTTTATGCTGACATGAAATTTTTATACCACCTGTCATTTAAGGATTATATTTAGTTTTAATCTTAACTTCTTTTTTTTTTTTTTGGAAAGTTAGAGTAGATTATTCATAGATGAGTATTAAGAAAGGAGTTTATTATAGTATCAACATCCTGATTAACGAAAATACTGCCCCAAGTTCATAGCTTAATTGAATCAAAAGCCCATTCCTGGAGGACTTACTAAATTTCCTTACTAATTGGGTGTAACTGTTGTGTGTTTGTAAGTTAATATTATTTGTGTATATAATCTGGCCATCATGATCAGACAGACCACTCCTGTTGAGATTAATAAAAATATTATCAATTGCAGAGATTGAATGATTTTGGATTCTAGTAGGAAAGTACACTGTACCAGAGAGGTTAAAAGAAGATAACAAGGTGTCTAATTATTTTTTCCTATTACTGTCAACATGATAACTTACCTTTATATCACCAAAGATAGTATTTTATAGGGAATTCAGAATGACATCTAAGCCATTTAGGAATTATGAAAAGTTACCAGATGGAACTATATACATGGATAGAATACCGATATTGCCAAATGGAAACTGAAGTTTAACTGCACATACTTCTAAGTCTTGCTCTTTGGAAAATTCATGTAAATTAACATTTAAAAATTTTAATTTTTTTTGTTTGTGTACAAAAATACATACTCCACCTTATCTACAATATTCAGCACCAAGATTGTAATGCTCTATATAAGTGCGATCCAAGTCCTGGTAGACAAGGTGATGTTCCATTAAACATAACAAAAGTGGCAATTCAGAATACAAGGAACTTCTAAGCCCGTCTGTTTTGCCTTGTAAGTCCCTAATATTTTGATAATACATATTTAGTGAGTTATTATAAGAATATAGTAAAAATATATTAGGTCTGAGCATTGATTCTCATACAATCTCGGTTTCAATCAGCATTTGGTCTGTAAGTATTACTTAATCTGTCTATACTATTAGTCCTGAAGTTACAAGCTGAGCCACCACAAAAAATCCTCATTTCTTGTTACATGAATTCTCCTTTGTCTAGTAGACATTCCATTTTCAGCTGTTTTTTTTTAAGTTGGTTCAAGATTCTGTGAAAGATTAATCAAATTTAATTTTATTGGACTTATTACTTCAATGCTGCTTTCTGTTGCAGCAGTAGGAGAACCTTCATCTAGAACCTTGTTAGAAGGTTCAATTTTCCAACCTAAACCAATTGCAATTGCAGCCTCTTCTAATAGCCATGCATTAATATGAGAAACAAGTTGCTTAGAAGTCACATCTTTAACTAATGCATTTAAGTGAAGTCCGTGGTTTGTAAAAAGTCACATATTAAGGTCTATATTTAAGAGCGTACAGTGCTCATGTATTTTAATGCATTTAGCTAATTTTATATTGAACATAGTAATTTTCTTGTTTACACAAGAAGATTTTATCAAGGTCATAACGATATGGAACACTCAACAGGATGATGTTAGTAAGGCCATTGTCTTTGACAACATTTACAATGTGTCTTAATCCACTCTCACTGTTACTCTTGCTCACATCATTAGCACCTCCCCAGAATACCATTATGTTCATATTTGTTAAATTTATAATCTCTTTTTTTGTTGATTTTGTTAGACTATTAACACCAAAACCACAGATCTCAAATTTGTCAGTCAAATTTTTAACCCTAGCTGCACATCCTCTTGCATGACTGTCTCCTATTATTACCAGTTTATGCTTGCATTTGGTTTGGAACATGAGTTCATAAGTGGGTCACTATCGCTGGGAATTAATTCATCGTTTCCTGAAGACACTATTCCATCCTAATTAAAGCATTAAGCCAACTCAATTCAAAAGAATGAAACTCACCTACTATCATCATCAGTAATCTGTCAAGACGACAGGTCCACAGTCTCTTCCAAAACAATTCCTCCATTTAATACGATATAGAGCTTTCTCCTTCAAATGACAGTATCCTACTATACCATTACCCAAAACAATGTGTGGTGAATTCTGTTGTACCATATTACAAGCTTCAGATTGTGACAGACATGAATTCTGTGGCATCACGGATTTATCTGACAAGCAAATTGGTGAATTTCGTTATATCACACTAAAATCCAGAATAACGCAGTAACCTATCATCATTAATACTGGAACTATAAATGAAGTTTAACCTAACCTAACGAAAACTAAACCAAATATTGCCCTGATCAAGTGTGGTGAATTGGAAACAATACAACATAATAACGAATTACCTAACCTCAATTTCGTCCACACCAATCGTCTTCAAATTTCTAGACGTATAACTATACCCCACGTTTGGTCTATTCAAATTTTTCGCCTCCCAAATATTCCCTCGGCGACAACAAAAACACACCATATACTCAGTGCATTGACATATGTACGTGTTACAGCAATCTGAAGGTCAGTCAAGTCACATACGAAAATCCTTTATGCATTAAAGATTTATTAAGAGATCGCCTTGTTTGCATTAGTTACCCAAGCTTCGGATATACATTCGAACAAAATTACTGTACCACATACCGCTTACAAGCTACGGATAATACATCAATTTTCAATGCTGCCCTACAAATGAAAGTTTAGTACATTTGATAACAAACAGACGGCACAAAAATAAAAGCCAACCTTTCCTCGAACACCATAATTTTCATCGTCTGAGCACGGTACATTCCAATCGTCCTGCCCGCCAGATAATTCGGACATGTCGCAATTTACTTAAAAACATGCAACTGAACATAACTAACCCACTGCAACTGCCATAGGTAGGCGGGAAATATGAACAGTCGTCCCTTCACACTGAGGGCGCTTGTCCACGACAAGAATTCCTGCCGGAATGGTAATTCCGCCGGCCAGCAGACAAAACCGGGTGGCCTTGTCCACGGAGACGGCAGGCGCGCGGAAAATGTTTCACTCGAGTCGAGGGAGTCTGTGCACGGGTGCAGTAGAATGGATAATACGGATGTATGCACCCTCATTGCACTATATTATTTTTACAAAAAGAAACAGCGACGACGCAGATGGTATTGGGTGCATCCTGTGTTGCAAGACCGATTTAAATTTGGTGCATTTAGTACGCTGTTTGAAAAACTACGACAGGACGACGCAAAGCATGTTAATTTTTTTAGAATGTCAAAAGAAACATTTGACAAATTACTGACAATTTTATCTCCCAGTGTTTCAAAATCTTCTTTAAGGTGTGAGCATACATCCTTCCAAGCTTGCACAGTTAGCCGCCTGGCTTTGTACTCTTCACTTGACTTATCCCACAGTACTGGTCTTTCCTCGACAAGCGTAATTAATAATTCACAGTCAGTATTGAATTCTGCGCTCATTGTAATGAAAAGAATACTGCAGACACAAAACACATGGAACTTGCACGCTGAAGACCAACTGATGACTGACGGCGAGCTCGCCGGCTCGTGGACACGTAGACATGTTAATGCATGTCCCACTGAGAACACGGTGCACCGTCCGGCTGCCGTCTCTACAGTGGGAATCCGGTGCTGCATCCGGCAGCTGGACCGGTAGATTTGCCATGATGGCTTGTGGACAAACTCTCATATGAAATAACGCATCACTACCAACCCGGTAAATCTACTGGAACAGCAGACGGCATAAATTCTTGTCGTGGACAAGGGCCCTAAAGGTTGTAAAAGACGTTGCTTGCCAGCTGACGAGGTACTAAGATTTTGATTTACTGGTATGGGATTAGGGATATGGTCAGTCCCTTGACCTTAAACTTCACATTCAACATTTCAAAACTAAGCTGATTAATGAAACGCATGCTCTTTAATGCAACCTTCCATCATATACATTAAATTTTCTCTTTAAAAATCTTTGCTCACAGCATGTTCTTTTAAAAACTGACATCCTAGGATGACATAATTTGTAAGCTGTGGAGAAACCATGAACACTCCTTTCAACTTACCCTCACCTATAGTGAACTTGATCATGGCCTGCTTTCTAACTTTGCTAGAAAGTTAACAAAAAACTGTTATCAATATTTCTTCACGGGGTCTCTCTTGCGCCGTGTCGCACCTGCACGACTAGTCATATTTCTGTCAGCAGCCAATTCGTGCCACAGTCCACAATTTCCTTGGGTCATATATTTCTTGAAGATGTTACTCTTGCGCCATGCCACTGTTGCACGGCGGGACACCTTCCTGCAGGCAGTGGCAAACTTCATCTGGGATCCACAAATTCCTCGGGTTAGTTCCAGTGGCTCTCCACGTTGCCCTGCAGCTTGCTTCTTGCCCATATACTGCTTCTTCCGTCCTTTGACCAGTTTCACTACGGCATTTTCGTTGGGGACTTCTCGTTGTTGGGCCA